ATGGCGAGGGAGCTCCTGTTGCTCTATGGCCGTCTGGTGACGCGTTCGGCCGACGTCGTGGCGGGCATCGGCGGCGAGGGCATCGGCTTGGGTATGTGCCGGGGGGGGGGGGGGTTGCTGGGTGGGTGGGAAGGGTGGGTAGGAGGGAGGAAAAGAGAACGGGCTGGGGAGGGGAATCACGGGCGGGTTAGACGTCGATGGGGCGGGGGCGTGGGTGTGCGTCGAGGGCGGGAGAGTGCATGGGTGGCGGGGGGTATGCGTCGTGTGAGGGATGGGCTTCGTGGGCGGGGTGGGCGACGTGGGCGCGGGTGGCGGACGGACGGACGGGATCGGTTCGTGGGCGGTGCGAGAGCGGAAGAGGTGGGGGCGCGGGCGGGGTGGGCAGTGCCGCAAGGTGAGCAGGGAGGTGGCACCGCGTGTGTTTGGGCAGAGGCTGGCATGGGAACGAAAGGGGAGGGGGTGGGGCAGCGGGGGGGCATCGGGCCGAGGTGGCAGCGAGGAGGGGCATCTGAGCGACGTGGGCAATCTCAGCGACGTGGGGCAAGGGAGGGCGGGCATCTCAGCGACGTGGGGGGGAGGCTGGGCATCTCAGCGGCGTGGCGGCATCTCAGCGACGTGGGGCAAGGGAGGGCGGGCATCTCAGCGACGTGGGGCAAGGGAGGGCGGGCATCTCAGCGACGTGGGGCAAGGGAGGCTGGGCATCTCAGCGACGTGGGACGAGGGAGGGCGGGCATCTCAGCGACGTGGGGACGAGGGAGGCTGGGCATCTCAGCGACGTGGGCGAGGGAGGGCGGGCATCTCAGCGACGTGGGCAAGGAGGGCGGGGCATCTCAGCGACGTGGGGCAAGGGAGGGCGGGCATCTGAGCGACGTGGGGCAGGGAGGGCGGGCATCTCAGCGACGTGGGACGAGGGAGGCGGGCATCTCAGCGACGTGGGGCAAGGGAGGTCGGGCATCTCAACGACGTGGGGCAAGGGAGGCTGGGCACTTAGCAGGACGAGGAGGGCGGGCATCTCAGCGACGTGGGAAAGGGAGGGCGGGCATCTCAGCGACGTGGGACAAGGGAGGGTCGGGCATCTGAGCGACGTGGGACAAGGGAGGCGGGCAGCGACGTGGGACTGGGCATCTCAGCGACGTGGGAGAGGAGGGCGGGCATCTCAGCGACGTGGGGCGAGGGAGGCTGGGGCATCTCAGCGACGTGGGACAAGGGAGGAGGGGGCATCTCAGCGACGTGGGAACAAGGGAGGGCGGGCATCTCAGCGACGTGGGGCAAGGGAGGTGGGCATCTCAGCGACGTGGGCAAGGGAGGGTGGGCATCTCAGCGACGTGGGACGGGGAGGGCGGGCATCTAGCGACGTGGGCAGGCATCTCAGCGACGTGGACAAGGGAGGGCGGGCCATCTCAGCGACGTGGGGCAAGGGAACGTGGGACAAGGGGCGGGCATCTCAGCGACGTGCGGGCAGGGAGGGCGGCATCTCAGCGACGTGGCGAGGGAGGGGGGGCATCTCAGCACGTGACGAGGGAGGGCGGGCATCTCACGACGTGGGCATCTCGACGTGGACAAGGAGGGCGGGCATCTCAGCGACGGGCAAGGGAGGTGGCATCTCAGCGACGTGCGACGTGGCGAGGGAGGCTGGGCTTCCGACGTGGGAGGAGGGCGGCATTCAGCGACGTGGGACAAGGGAGGTGCGGCATCTCGCGACGTGGGCGAGGAGGCGGCATTCTCACGACGTTGGGGAGGGAGGCTGCACTCAGCGACGGGGGCGAGGGATGGCCGGGCATCATAATGAGGTGGCCCCGATGGACGCTGGCTCATCTTCTCGGCAGGAGCCGCGAGGGCACGGGCCGCCTAAGTGAGGTGTGCACCGAGAGTGGCGGGCATCTCGAGTGGGGTGCAGTGGCGCGCGGTGGCAACTGGACCGACCCAACGACGAGCGTTTGAGGATGCACGTACCTCACTGGGCTGTCGTCTGTTTGCTGCCCAGGGGTTGGCGAGGGGGCAAGGGGAGGGCAAGGGGAGGTCCGCAATGCTACGGAGCGAGAGAAGGAGCGGCGCGGAGGAGGAAGAGGGAGGAGTGAGGGAAGGGAGGAGGGAGGAAAGAAAGGAAAGGAAAAGGAAAGGAAAAGGAAAGAAAGGAAAGGAAAAGAAAGGAAAAGGAAAGGAAAAGGAAAGGAAAAGGAAAGGAAAGGGAAAGGGAAGGGAAAGGAAGGGAAAGAACAGAAACGGAAAGAAAGAAAGGAAACTAAGGGGGGCATGGGCGGAGAAGGACAACGGTGCATTCAAGGAAGATAACGGGATGCGAGACGAAAGAAAAGGCGTGAGCGGAGCTAAAAGGGAAGAAGGAAAGGGACGAACAGAATGACGGAGCTCAAGATCGGACAAGTGAATGCACCGAGAATGAAGGATTGAAGGACAGGAAGGAATGGAAGAAAGGAATGCACTAGAACGAAGACTCAAGAAAGGAATGACATACGAACGAACGATGGAAGGAAATGGAAAAAATAAGTGTGCCTGATTGAATGAATGAGTGAATAAGGGTCCTGGAAGGAGATGAAGAGGATGGGACTTTCAGAGGGAGACGAGGAGGCTAAAGAATAGACGAAGGAATTGATTGAATGTAGTTATGGGCTCAGACGAAGGAAAGAAGGAAGGGGGGGGAAGCCAAGGTTGCTCGAAGGTATAGAAGAGAATGAAGAAATGCCGCTGGCTGAGAACGAAATGAGGCGAGGATTGTGAAAGAACGATTGGAAGAAACGAATAGGCTGAAGATGGAAGACCGAAAAAAAGGTAATTGGCTTATGACGAACGACTTAAAGACATGAATAGGCTTAAGATTGACATAAAGTAATTGGCTTAAGATTAAAATTGACAAAAACTAATTGGCTTAAGATGAAAGATTGAAAGAAATTGATTGGCTTAAGATGAAAGACCGAAAAAAAGGGGAATTGGCTTAAGAGGGAGGACTGAAAGAAGAGAAAGAAGATGGAGGACGCTAGTGAAGGAAGGAAGGAAGTCAAGAGACACGGATTGCAAGAAGCAACGAGGGAAGGAGTCGAGGCGCTGAGAAGGGAAGAAAAAGGAGGGGAAAGAGGGAAGGGCCTGGAGCGCACGAAGGGAGGAAAGGAGGAGGGAAATGAAATGTGCTCAAAGGAGGGGAGTTTATGCCTGGGACGAAGGAGATCGAGCAACGAGAGGGCGGGCGCACCTGGAGCAGAGAGGGAGGGGAGGAGGGGAGGGGAAGGGAGAGGAGGAAGAAGGGAGGGAGGAAAGGAAGGGAGGGTGAAGGGAGGGAGGAGGAGGAAGAGAGGAGAGGAGAGGAAGGGAGGGGGAAGTAGGAGGGGTAGGAGGAGAAGGAGGGAGGGATGAGGGAGAGACGAAGAGGAAGAGGAGGACGAAAGGAAGAGAAAGGGGAGAGGAGAGAGAGGGATGGGAGTGGGGGAGAGAGGTGGGAGATGGAAGTGGAGGGGAGGAAGGAGGAGGAAGAGAAAGGAGGGAGAAGGATGGAGAGGAGACCGGAGGCGAGATGCTGAAAGTATATGCGTGCGACCAGCGGGAGCAGATGAGATGCTTACGGAGGCTGGCTCCCCCGGGACAGGAGGGAGAGGGGGGGGGCGGAGGGAGGGTAGGACAGGGCAGGGGCAGAGAGGAGAGGAGAGGGAAATGGAGGAAAAGGAGAGCGAAAAGGAAAAGAAAAGGGAAAGGGAGAGAAGCAGGGCAAGGGAATGAAAGGAAAGGAGAGGGAGAGGGAAGGGAAGGGAAGGGAAGGGAAGGCACAGAAAAGGAGGGCAATACAGGAAGGAAAGGAAGGGAAAGGGGAAGGGAAGGGAAAGGAGAGGAAGAAAAGGGAAGAAACGAAAGGAAGGGCAAGGAGCAGATGGATAAAAGCGTCGACAAGATAGAAAATGAAAAAAAGGATGAAGGGCAGACGAGATAGAAGTGGGATGACGAAAGAAGGGGCTCCTGGCGAAGAGGAGAAGGAAAGGAGGAAGGAGAAGAAAGAAGAGGAGAGGGAGGAAAAGGAGAGGAGGAGGAAGAGAGGGGAGGAGGGGAAAAGGAGAGAGGAGAAGGGAGGGAGGAGGAAAAGGAGAGAAGAGGAGAAGAAAAAGGGGATGAGGAGGAAAAGGAGAGAGAGAGGAGAGAAGAAGAGGGAGGAGGAGGAAAGGTAGGATTAGGATTAGGAGGTGGCTGAGGAGGGGGGAGGGGGGAGGAGGCAGGGCGGAGGGAGGGAGCGCAGAGAGGAGGCGAAGTGCTTGTGTGAGCGCCGCCCTTGTGGAGCGGCGAGTGTGCCTGAGTGGGAACGAGTGTTTTGTTTGTCACCTCTTGAGCTTTCGGGAAACTCAGCGTGGCCAGCGAGCGAGCTTGCTCTTCCTCTGGAGGAGGCCGTAGATGGACGCTGCGTCCTTACCCAGCGGAGTTCGGATAGCGGCGAGTACGCGATGGGTTATTGGGTTTTGCTTCCATGAATAGTTGTGTCGAAAGCTACGGGGACAAACTGTTATAGTGTATCATAGTGGAAATCATTAATTGGCGATATAGTGTATAGCGTATATAGTCTATACGCCATTAGGGAAAGCCGTATGCTGCTTAGAAATACGTTTTGACACGATGAGCTTCCGTCCCGTGTTGAGGCGTCGCAGCGTCATCGGCCTCTTGCGGCGTGTGTTGTGATGCGTTCGCCTAGGGGGCAGTAATCCTTCCACGCTTATTTTAAACTCGGTCGTATTATCTTACATGAAAGCTTAAAGCGTGTGCAATGGCCGGCTTGCCCATTAAGTGCGCATTACCTTCAGCCTTCGTGGGTATTGTGAACTGGCCATCGTCACGTCGTCACTTGTTTATGCAAAGATTAGCTTCTCAATATAAATTGCGATTTTGCGGCCGACAGAGGATTTCGGTTTCGTCTGCGAAAAGACGTCTTTTTATCCCGTGAATTTTGTTTTGTTTGTTAGCCTTTTGCCTCGCTGCCCGCGGGGTTCCGCGCCCTGGCCGTAGGCGGAGTG